ACAGTTTTACTTCTTCCCTCCCATACGTTATGCCTTTTATTTCTTTCTCTTTCCTTATTAAACTTGCTAGGATCTCTAAAAGATGTTAAATACAAGCAATAAGAGCAACCATTCTTGCCTTCTTCCCACACTTAGTGGGAAGGGATTTCATCTTTCACCATTAAGTATGATATTAGCTATAGGTTTTTTCATAAGTGCCCTTGACTGTTCCTAGGTTGCTGAGTTTTTTTTTTAAATCATGATTAGATGTTGAATTATGTTTGTAGAAGCCGTGTGTCAGATACAGTCTTCAGGAAAATAGTATACCTCATGAGTAGCCCTGTTGACTCTACATGTCACCATATTCATACCCATTGTCAACCGGCTTTTTCTCCTAATGCTGATAAAACTATTTCCATCTGGAGCTTGGGAATTATTTTTATTCTTCTCTGAAGCAGCATATATTGCTCCTTCAAAAACCATGGAAATTCTCTGTGTCGCATTCATGTGTCATTGTTATAGTACTGAAATTTCTTTATCTTCTCTTTCTTTGCTATTCTTTTGACACTGGTTTTGGTTCTTCTTCATCTCCTTGCCTTTTTTATGTCTGCCTTTTTTCTTAGATTATGTCTTCCACATCTACAAAAACTTCCTCCCTGCTAATAGTGCCAAGTTCCAGAAGTGTGTGTGTGTTCGTGTGTTTGATCCTTTCACCTTCTTCTCCAGCAGAGATGAGTGGCTGCTTGTATTTATGGCTGGAATAATAGCTCACTGCCCCAAGGAGGAAGATAACCATTGTCTATGCTCTGGGTCACTGCAAGTGTTTCTCTCTCTGAATCTCCAAGGCTTCTAAAGAAGCCAGTCCTTGGAGATTCCCTTTGGACACTTCTGACTACTATGGCAGACTGCCTATTGGGCAGGCTCCTAGTCCTGCTGCTGGTCTCTGTCTGCTAACCTTCAAGGTCAACCTGCTCTTGTAAACCAGGACTAATTAAGATGTATCAAGCCCAGAATTTTCAACTATTGGGAGACACTAGGCAAAATTTGAAAACCTCACTTGCTGCTTTTTACTTCTAGCTCATGTAGAGAAGGGACAGGAAGCTCCAAATCAAAATTATCCAGCCTATTTTTGGAACTCTTCTTTGGAATTGCCTTCAGAGACTGCAGCACCTTTTAAAAAATATCCTCAATGGTGTCAAAACTTTGAATGGGGACTCTGCATTTGACTTTAGGCCGAAATCCTTTTGAAGCCCATCTGCTGCACTTCATCCATGAGTGGGCGCTCATGCTGTGGGAAGCGCTGTTTTCTGTTTAAAACTTGAGATATGGTAAAATTCACGAGATGGTGGCTTACGTAGCTTTAAAATCTAAAGGCACTCTCAAAAGAATTAGAAGAATACTTTGAATAGTGACAGCATTGCTGGAATAAGTGCCCATCATCAGAAGGTACTGCTTTGCAGAACTCTTCTAGCTGCATATGCTCTGGTAGGCATCTCAACAAAGGCCTCGTTACATCTTAGTCGTGCCTCCTGGAGTATTTATTCTGTTTTTGTTCACTAGAAGTACATTTGTTCCTTCTTTTTAATATAGTTTAGAAAGACTCTTCCATGATACAAAGTAATATTGCAGTGGGCAAACAAGAAGGAATGTACTGGTTCAGTGCCTAACAGACATGGATTTGGGAAAAAAAAGTCACTATTTGTTTACTTGTCTTTAGGATGAAGGCTAGAGAACTTCTTTGTGATCATCAGATTTTATTACATAGAGATGGAATTCCAAAAACACCTTTTTTGCTCGGCTGCATAAGCAGGAGGTATAACGTCCTCATTTTTTATTTGACCATCTATTAGAGAATGAGAGCAACAGATTGCTGTTAGTGCATAAGAGGACCAGACTGACTGGGTTTGAATTCTCACTTTGACAGTTCTTAGTGCACACATTGTTTAACCTTTTTGTTCCTCGGGGTGTGTGTTTCTATATGAAGATAGTAATAGTAGTTGCCTTCTAAGGTTGATGAGAGTATTGAATGAGTTCATCTGTGCTTACAACAATGCCTGGGACATAGTAGAGGATGAGTAAATGGAAGCCATGATCATTACCGTGAGCAGATGCTCTGTTTTGCTTTACGTGTATAATGTCACCTGTATTATTATCTTTATTACTGTTTAACTTGCCTCATATTTATTCATCTCCCCAACTCAGTTGCTGTCTCCTTGAAGACCTATCTCAATTTTTGTAGACTTGCCTAGCATGGTCCAGAGTGGTTGCCCGGTATATATTTATTGACTGATTTTTGGCCTCCTTGGGAACATGAGTAAGTAATTATATATGCTGAGCAAGGAGTGTCTCAGAAATGATTGGCCTAGTGTCATTTCGTTATTTCTTCTAAGAAGCTATATTAATATTTCAAGGCTGGTTAATTTAATAGGTGTTTGCTGAATGCTTAAGGATGGATTGACAAAGTAAATTGTTCTGAATGTAACCATATGTTGACATGCCATTTTGTAGATTGTTAATTTCTATAGCTAACCTCTTGCCTGTTATGCATTGGATTGTGTCCTCCAAAAAGATATGTTGATAGGCGTAGCCCTCAGTACCTTGGAATGTGACCTTATTTGGAAATAGGGTTGTTGCAAATATAGTTGAGGTCATACTGGAGTAGGGTGAGCCCTTAATCCAATATGACTGGTGTTCTTATAAGAGAAGAGAACACCATGTGAAGACACAGAGACACAAGGGACAACACTGTGTGCCGACAGAGACCGAGCTTGGAGTGATGGAGCTGCAAACCGAGGAACACCAAGGCTTGCCGGTGATAGCCGGAAGCTGGGAGAAGCAAGGAAGGATCCTCCCCTGGAGCCTTCAGAGGAGTGTGGTCCTGCCGACACCTTGATTTCAGACTTGGAGCCTCCAGAACTGTGAGAGAATAAAGTTCTGGGGTTTTCATTTTTTTGTTTTCGTTTTTTTCTTTGGTGAGGAAGATTGTCCCTGAGCTGACATCTGTGCCAGTCTTCCTCTGTTTTGCATATGGGATACTGCCGCAGCAAGGCCTGACAAGCAGTGTGTAGGTCCACGCTGGGGATCTGAACCAGCGAACCCTGGGCTGCCCAAGTGGAGCACATGAACTTAACCTCTATGCCACCTGGTCACCCCCAAAGCTTCTGTTGTTTTAAGCTGCCAAGTTTGTAGTACTTTTTTCAACAGCTTCAGTAAACTCAAGACACTGCCCATCCATTATTTTGCATCTTTTCCCCATTGCTGCTTGAATTAGGATTGTTGACAACCCTGGGTTTCATTTCATCTCAAACGGTTGATTTGCCTACATTTTCATTTATTATTCATCTTCTCGTATAGTTTGATTTTTAAAAAATTGTGTTTACTGCAAGATCAGACAAAGGTATTGGAAAATCTGGCAGAATATCATTGCTGTTATTACATGTGTGCCAGAAGTGGGAGACATTTATAATATTGTTCATAACAGCGTTGTTTGTAAGAGTGAAACCTGGAACCAGTTCAAATGACTCCTGAGAAGAGAGTGGAAAGCAAAATGTGGAACAATGGACTACTATGCAGCAGTGAAAATGAGCGCACAAACTCCACACGTCCACATTTATGGCTCTTACAACAGCGCAGTGTGAGAAAAGCACAGGGCAGAAGAATGTGTAATGATTCCATTTATGTATAAAAGTTCAAAACCATGCAAAAGCAACATATTATTTAGAGATATATACATATGTGAAAAATTATACAGATATACAAAGGAGTTATAAACACAAAAATCAGCCCTAGGGAGGGAGGGTGGAGTACCTTTAATGACTGATGACTAATGTCTCCAAAGTCATGAAACTCTCTGAGGGTGAGACTGTCTTCATTTGTTCATCAGCTGAGTGCCTAAGCTGCTCTGTGCTGGTGACACAATGTGAAACAGCCTTTGCCCTTAGGAAGCTCAGATCTAACAGGGGGACGTGAAATGTCAATGCATAAGTACAATGCAGCACGAGAAGTGAAATATTAGAAATTTGTGCAACGTATAGAGAAGTGAGGTGTGCGTTCGTGTGCATGGGGAGGTCAGGAAAAGCCTCCTGTGTCTTGAAGCAGGTAAATAAGGGTCCGGTGCCAACACGGCTCCTGCTTCTCCTCCCAGTGAAGGTGCCTGGAGGAATTTGTCCAAATAGCAGGTTATCATCTCTAGCCTTTTCTCCTCTCTTTATTTTTCTAGAAACTGCACATCCGCTCTTTAGTTCCTTCCACTCTACCACTAATTCCAGTTGAGGGAATCTTTGTCAGTAAAGCCCAGTCTGAGAAGCTCCTTGGGAAGTAAGGAGATGCTCTGAACTGGCACCTTCATTGCTCTTAAAACTATGACTGTTTACATGTGTCTACTCTTACCCTTCAACAGTTACTATCTTAACTTTTGCTTAAGGACGTACTGTTAAAATGTACTTTTTGGGAATAGTTTCTCACAGGGGGAAATAGTTAAGCAAAATACAGTTTTGTCATGGAGTCTATCAAGTGGGTTCATGAGTTTTGGAATTAGCAGGTGGATGGGGAACTTGATCTCGTTCCTATTTTAAAACTTTGTTTACTGGCGGGTATTTGATGGTTACAAAATCCATTGGTGAATTTAACGATATGTTTAAATGAATGTAATATCATTACTAGGTAGCCTTTTTACATTAAAAAAAGTTAACCTGATGGTAGTTGACGTTTCTAATAGTTTACTTAGCATAGCGATTTCAATTTCTGAAGGATTTCTAAAGTTACCCTGTTCTATGGCCACAGCTCATGCCGCTGAAGCCTAGCAGCTGTCTTGAAGATGTCCCATTTGTCATGAGGGGACCAGGTAATAGGGGGAATGGATCAGCTCAAGTCCCTCACTAACCACTGGAAAAAATGATTCAAAATGCATTCTCCACTGGATCTGAATTAGATTGTTTTTAGCCAAAGGTCTTTGCATCATTTAAAGAAGTACACGTGAGTGTATTGTGATTTTTAAAATGAATCGTAAATATCAAAATGATACAAAGAGTGAGTTTCTGCATGAAATGCTGTTTAGCATTTTATAATATCCAAAGAAGAATTGTGAAAGCAAATCCCCTATAGCCTTGAGGTTTGATGTGGCCAAGACAAGTGGAGAAGCTCTGATGCATACGTGTTGCATGTATCTGTTTGGAAAATAAGCCACTTTGAAGAGGGGTACTGTTTTGGAATAAATACAGTTGGATTTATTCTAAGAAACTTCTAGTGTATTTCTGGATCCTTGAGTCAGAATAGAAGGTAATGAGGTGAGATCTCCATGTTAGGGATCCACGGAAAGTGTCTCTGGGCTAGGAGTCGAGTGGTTTATTTTTTTTTAATGGAAGTAGGCATGCTTTAAGGATAAACTTCTTTAAGGCTGTTCAGAGCGTTGCCAAGATTAGATGGATCATCTTAGAAAATGTGTATGCAGAATGATTAGGCAGTATTAGCCATTGTATATTTTATGGGAAATCCAGCCAAGTGTATTAGCGCCAGTTTGAGGAATGACTTAGAGTTCATCAGAGTGCCTCTTGGACGAGGAAGGGACCTGGTGTTTGAATGCCTCTATTTTGCCATGCGCTGTGCCAGCATTTTTTTTACATGTTCCTCATCATGGCCCCATGAGGGGGGTAGTATCGTGCTGAGTTCACAGACAGAGAACTGTAGTTTATCCAAGGTTGCATGACTCTTATTATCACTCAAGTGACAAAATTGGGATTTGAAACCCAAACTGGTCTGAATACGGAATCCTGTCCTTGTTTCAACTACATCACACAGTTTTGTAGCTTGTCATAGTGACATTTGACAAGGTATAAGCATACGCAGTGGGGTTAATAGCTTATATTTTAGTTTAAAAGGACACAATTATTTGCTTTGGCTGAAGAAAGTTCATTTGGAAATAATTTATTTTAATAGTTTGAGGCAGAGGGTGACAGCCTGTTTCTGTAAATAACATCTTATTGGAATACTTCGTTTCCATATCGCCTATTGCTGCTTTAATGCTACAATACAGACCCAGTAGCTGCAGCAGAGTCCCTAAAATATTTACTGTCTGAAAAAAACAATTTATTGTCTGGCGCTTACAGGAAAAGCTTACCAACCCCTATTCAAAGGAAAATGTATAAAAATGAAATAAACTCCTAATTTTGCAGATCATCGTTTGTTTTCATGTGGATTGAGCAGATGTAGAAGTTGAATTGACAGTGTACCTCGTCTCAAGATGGCTGGGATGTGAACATTTCTCATTTGTACAGAGAGTGGTTTGGTTGAGGACATCTCAGGGCATCTTTTTCATTTCCTTGCCTGGTAGGTGGCCTACAGTCAGAACAACTTTTAATGTAAAAGTCAGAATACGTTAATTTAGTAAAATCTGTGTTTACGGGTACTCCAGGTACACAGCAGGACTCTCTCGGCAAGTGCTTCTCATTGGGGGCAACGCTCCCCCTAGAGGCCACGTTGGAATTAGGGGTGTTTTTGTTTTTAGTGTAATGTATTGAAAAATACATTATTATATTATAAATCACTGTCCTTTTATTTCTCCTTTATACTTGAGTTAAGACATTATGTTGATGATTTTTTGAAGTTGTGTTTATGTTGATAATATCTATGATTTTCATTTCAAACAAGCAAAGGAGGCTTTACAGAAATTTGTTTTATAACAAAAGGAGAGCTGGGTCTGGTAGTATTGAGCACTGCTGCCCTAAGTATTTGGCATTTCTTTTCAAAACACTTCCAAGTAAAGAGAGCTCCCTTAGAAAGCCCTGGACTTTTGGACTCCGAGGCTGCTTGTGCGTAACTTCTTGCTCGCTGGCAGGCATTAGAAGTTGGTTTTCACACTGGTAGGTTTCCACAGCTTTGGAAGGAGCCTCCAGAGAAAGACTATCCTTAAACTGCATTTAAACGTCCACACCGAGTGAGAAAGCACATTGAATAAACGCCAAAGAGAAGGCCTGTGTACCTTTTGTCACTGTTTGTGCACGGAGAGTTCAGAAAAAAACACTAATCGAGAGCCGTGGACCTCAAATCAGGTGACCATGGGAACTGGAGCTCCCCTTGAAGTTGAGATCTCACTTGCAAGGGCCCCGTGAGGTAGAGGTCAAAATTATTTTCTAATTCTGCTGCTTTTAGATTTTTACCGTAAGGGTAAAAATGGCCTGCATTTGACTAAAAGGGTTGATAGTCTTGTCTGCTGCAGGGGTTTTGTGGAGTCCTGGCCTTCATATTCAGCAGAGAGGGGAGCACTTTCTTTGCCTGGAAGAAGGGCATGGTGGAAGAGGTTTTCGAGCCTTCGTCTGAAGCCTGTGCTTCAAAGGCAGCCTGTAGTGTAGGGTGGTCGCGCTCCAGTTCTCTTTGGCGCAGACTGCTTCACAGCGCCCTAGGTTACTGCTGCCGTTCTGCCGGCGAGAGCCGTCATGCCTGGAGCCTCTGGATTAGCCAAGGGTTTGCTCTACCATTTCTTTTAAAGCTTGCATGAATTTCTGGCTTAAACATTGGACAAACAACAGTTAAGTTCTTTGGCCAGGTCTTTGGTGCCCAGTTTATCCATTCATTTAACAAATACCTCTTCAGTTCCTACTGGGTGCCAGGCACTGTTACAGGTGCTGTAAATGCAGCAGGAAATAAAAAAGAATCCCCATCTGGCAGGGTCTTATAGTCTAGTGGGGGGCTTGTATTCTGGTGGGGGGAGGTGGACAGTAACAGCAGATTATCTGAAAGGTTATAAGTGGTAGGGAGAGGAGACGGAGAAAGAGAGGCAGAGAGTCGGAGAAAGAGAGGGAGGAGTCAGAGGTAGAGGGGCATGTGGGGGACAGAGAGCCGGACACTATGAGACCATTGACGTTAGTTGTCTTGAATTTAAAAAGAGACACAATTAAGGCCATGTTGTAACTTTAAAATTTGATTTATTAAATAATGCCACCTTTATGAAGCTTTATTTGAGGGGGTTTGGGGGCCCCAAGGATTGCTTGCCTAGATGACTTGAGTTTTCTTAACTACGTTTCTTAGTCTAAAACTCCTCCACTGAGATTGGGACAAGTCGCATCCAGCCTGGTTTCTTTCAACATAGAGACCACTTGGAAGCACTTGTTCCTAGGAGGAAAGGAAGCTTCAGTGTTAGTCAGGAGGCCTAGGCCAGAGCTGGCCCTGCCACTGACTTGTGACAGTGCCTTGTCACACACCCTCTAGGCTCTCCTGGTCATTTTTCTGTCAGGGAGGATTGGGCTTAAATCATCAAGTTTTTTTCAGGATCAAAAATGATAGAATTCTACCTTTGGTTAGATTCCTGTAAGTAGCATATATGTAGGGCATTTAGTTTCAATTTTCACTTTAAAGCCAAGGTAGCCCAAATTCAATGTTTTTTAAATAAAAGGGATTAAAACTTGATCTATGGGGGTTTGGGGCAAAATATTCTATAACCAAAAGGGTAGCTGACTTTTGCAAACTTCACTGTAACTTCCAGTTATTATTGATCTGCATTTAGAACAACATAGACATTTTAGAGATGAAGATACGGATGGACTTTCCGTGCTTGGTAAGTTAGAGACAGCCCAGGGCCTGCGCTCACCCATCTAGTAGGTTCTCCACAGTGCCACACAGCTTTCCCTGGTCCTGTTTGAGACATTTTCACGTACTTTTTAAAGAGAAGCGTTAGAACTAGGTCGCTGCGGCCGTGCGCTATCCCTGTAGTAGCTAACTTTCTTCCTGGTGTTTCTAGGGTCAGGACTAATTTGTGGAAGACTTGTTTATGGTGTCAGCATTCAATAGCTATCCTTTCATAGTTGGAAAAAAATGCTAATAATTTGTTAACAAATATATCAGGCGATGTTCTAAGCCCTTCGTATGTATTACTTCATCGATTTCGCCCAACTAGGCTGCAGTGAAATACAGAGAGAGTAGCAGCCAAAGCCCGGAGTGGTTAGATAGCCTGCCAGGGTCAAAGAGTGAGTTGTAGTTGGGATTTGAACACAGTTGGTTCCAACATCTGTGCTCTCCAGCGTCACGCTGTTCTGGCTTCTGTACATTTCAGGGATCAGTTGGAACCATTCAAGAAAGAGAGGGTCACTGATGAGATTTTAAAGTGAACCTCACTGTGGAACCGACCCATGTTACCTGGACCCTTGGATTTCTCAGATACGTATGTGATCCAATGTCTAATAGTAGCACTTTCTAGTGTAACTCTAAAAATCAGGGCTTTAGACATAAAGACTGCATATTATGTGATTCCGTTTATATGAAATGTCCAGAGTGGGCAAATCTATAGTGATAGAAAGTAAATTCATGGTAGCTTAGGGGCTGGGGAAATGGGGAGCGATGAGTGACTACTGATGGCTACGGGGTTTTTGTTTGGGGTGATGAAAATGTTCTAAAATTGATTGTGGTGATGGTTGCACAACTGTGGATGTACTAAAAACCATTAAATTGTGTACTTGAAAAGGATGAGTTGTATAATATAACAGTTATATCTCAATAAGGTAATTAAAAATAAGGGGAACATGAGGACTGTTATATTTAGTTCATTTTAAATTGAAGTTTTTAAATGAGGATTGAAGAAAACAGGAAGACTCATCTCTCTTTTATCGTTTATAAATAGAAACAGGAAGATGAAGACTGAGTTGACTGTGTAACCCTGGATTTTAAATTTCTTATATTGACTTGACATTATAATTTAACTTTTGTTTGAAAACATTGACTTATATTGTTAAAATGTTTTAAATATTACAGTATCTGATTGCTAAAAAGTAGTTTTATATCTGTTACTGAAGAAAGTCCCCCAAATAGATAATGTTGTTTAGCCAATGGAATAATTTCAGGGCACACACATCTGACTTGCTCTGTGTAGTCCATGTCATCCATTCTGCTGTCTCTGAGAATAATGGGTTATTTTGCTTGAATTGGAACTTAAGGTTAGAGAGGTTTTTCAAGGCTATTTTGTCTGAATTTAATTCATTTTGGAGTTATCCATTAATCTTTTTAAGAAGTTATTTGTAATTGCAGGTTGTGCTACCTCGTAGTCGTTTCCGGTTCTTTAAGTTGAGTATCCATTTCCATAAAGAATATTTTATTTTGCCCTAATTGTTCATTTTGAAGCTCCAGTGGTAGTTCTCCGGTCCCAGGGTTCTGGGGTTTGGTGAACCAGTGTACAGGCTCACCCCACCATGATGTTTCACAATATTGTGTATTTTGCACATAACCAAACATTCATTCACCAAATAGTTATGAGTGCCAACTGCATGCTAGGAGAGAGCCATGACCCACACGGACCCTCAGCCTTGCCCTTCGAGAGCTGAATTCTGGTGGGGCAAGCCCAGCAGTCCTAATATTCTAAGATTGTCCTCACCTCGCCATCTCTCTACCTCTTCATCCCAGTGGTTACCTTATCTGCATCTTCGTCACCTCTCTCGGGCCTTATTTAAGGACAGGGACCAGTACTTCACAGCTGTCAAATCCCTAGGTTTTGTGCTGAGGTGTGTGAATATTCTCCATGCTGGGTTCTCCTAGTGCGTGGTTGCTGTTTTAATGAGCCTGGCGAAAAGAATCCCATGTGTGTCCACAATCACCTTGATGAATTGGATGTGGTTTACTTCCCAGTGACTTCATATAGCTCTCTGTGTCATTAACTTTGATAAATAAAATAACCAAAGCATTACTTGGTTTCCTGTTGTTGCTATAATCTTCACAAGTCTAAATAAATCTTTACATTAAAATGATATTGTGTATGTTCTGAATATGATGCTTTCGTTTATGTCTGAGTTGTGATGAATATGCATTATTTAAATGAAGTATATACTTTCCCTAGAAAATACTGATTAAGTCAAATCTTACTAATTTGATTTCCATCAAATCCATGCCACTTTAAATTGCCTTAATTTGGAGAAAACAGAATTCTTAAAGGGGAAAATAGTGTGAGTTCAATTGTCAACCCTTTTTATCACTCTGCTTGGCTGACTCTAAATTATCTTCAAAAATTAAGAAGGGTGGACATTTGAGGCCTGTTGCACAATTAATAAACGTTAAGATTTTTTAAGTGACAGTTAGAACGCTGTGAGTACAAATTCCAAGAGTGTATGTCATATCTTCTGCTGAGCTCCCCCGTGTGTCCTTAGCTGCCCTGTTCTGTTCTTCCACAGTTCCCTGCACCTTTATTGGAGGTCTTGCACATAACCTGTGCTGTGGTTACTCCTTTGTGTGTCTCATTCCCACTGGAGACTACGGAACTACGGCCTGTAAAGTGTAGTACTGTTCGTTCTCAATTGCAGTATTTACATCTCAGATGTCACCTATGTTTGAAATTGTGTACAAATTCAGTTGATATTGAATGTTGTCTTTCTTGGTAGAGTTTCCAGTATGGCTTCTGCACCAACTTCTAAGTATAATTCACACTCCTTGGAGAATGAGTCTATTAAGAGGGTAAGTTGAGTTTTCAAATTTATCTGTATTTTTCTCTGCATTTCTCTTTTTGTATTTGAATGTTAGTCATTTTGAGTTTATTGAATTATTAATTTCATTATTCATCCACATAATGTAAATTCTTTAATACACATGGTTTTATTTATTATCCCGCCTTGTTCCAGAAAAGACAGAATGTGTTATGTGTGTTAAGTGAGTTTTGCATTTGTAAATCCTTTCACGTAATTTCATCTTTGAGAACCTCTGTCTTGTGAACTCCTGGCAGACATTACATTTAATATGCTAGGCAATCCCTTGCCCCCGAAAGCTTTCAGAAAGAGGTGCTGGAGGGCCAAGGCTCCCTGAGCAGGCTGTTACACCTTCCTAAGTATTGGTGTTATTTTCTAACTATGAGGATAAAATAGTTGTATGAACAAAACAAATACAACGTTAGCAGAAAATGGTTCAAAATACTGAGGGGAAAATTGTGTAATTAGGGGGAGATTTGGGGACATATATTGAAAGGAAGGGATGAATTTCAAATCAGCTTTATTCATGCCCTTTTAAGGCTTTTGATACATGTTGTCCCCCAGCAAAGGTGAACTCACACTCCCACCAGGAGCATATGGGGGTGCCCGAGCAATCGGAAGACAGCCAACTAGTGTCTTTTAATTTATATTTCTCTGATTACTAACGAAGGTGACCTTTAAAAAAAAAGTGTGTTGTTTATTGTCCATTTGTATTTCAAATGACTGTGTCCTTTGCCTATTTGCCTTTTGGGGTATTTGGGGGGATTCTTTTCTGTTTTATTTATTTATTCTAAGTGTTCTTTATATATTATCATAATCAAACCTTTATAATATACATTATAAGTTGTACTCCTAGATTATTGCTGGCCTTTTAATTATGCTTATGATGTTTTGCTTTTGAAATACAGAGGTTTAAATTTTTTATGTAATCACATCTATCAGGCTTTTCTTTTATATTTTCTGCTTTTGGTGTCATGTTTACAAAGGCGTTTTTCATCCCCAAAATTTCATAAGTTTTTATTGTATTATAGTATTGTTATGGTACAAGAATCGGTTCTAAACACAAATAACTTCAAGAAGGTAATTATAAGTCCTTGTGTAACATTACTCTGATAGAAAGTATATCCTCTGTTAATCCCATCTTATCCTGTGTTAATCAAACATTCATGTCCTTTATTTTATGGTTGAATTATGCTTTCTTCTCCTGACCCAGAACTGTGGTATTTAAAAGGTATACCGAATATTAAATTTGCTCATTATACTTTTTTTTATTAGTGAGGGGCAGTGTTAAAGGATGATGATAATTTCTCTCCAGTCTTACCGTTCATATAAGGTGTGTGGTTTTGCTCCTCGTTGAGGAAGGCATTCCTGGCTGGGAACCATTTGTCTTGCCTTCCTAGTTAAACTGCTTAGCTTGCAAAGACTAAAACATACTGAAAATTGGCTAGGAATTTTCATCTTATGCCTGAATAAAAAAAGATAAAACCATTAAAAATCCAGCAAAGTGCCCCTCTTTGACAGCTTATATCTTACCTAAATACACACTTTGCATTTCTCTTGTTTTGTAATACTTTACATTTGCATAGCCCTTGATAATTCACAAAAATGTGCTTCTGCCTTTTGTTTCCCTTAATATTCACACAACCCCTTTGAGAGAAGTATTACTAACTTCACACATGAAATGATTGCAGTGTGACTTTGGAAAACAACTCGAAAAAAATGAATGAAAAGTAATGCCGAAACGACCTTTTGCCCAAACAGGTGTGAATGATGTGCCTCCCCCATCTGGCAGTGGACACAGGCGGCGTGTCATTGGTATTCATGTGTCAGGGCAGCTGAGTAGGTCGACAGACAGCTTTCCTAGGCTTCCAAGTCACGATGGCCAGCTATGGCAGATTATCCTCAGAACCACCTGTGGGTTTTGGTGGGTAATGCACTGCCTCCCTGGCACAGCTGCTGTAGCCATTTAATGAGGCACATGCCTGGGAATACCTCTAAAGCCAAGAGGTCTAGAGACTAGTAAAGTAACGTGAAGAATTTGTGTAGATGGTTCCTAAGGCCGTTGTCCGCTCCTAAGTTCAATGACAGACCACCTTTTCCTCTTACCTAGTTACCTGCATGAAGAAGCATCTTAGTAAAATGGGAAACCCAATATATAATAACAGTTATTTTCTGACATTGTAAGAAGATTCTGTAATTACTGTTGCTTGGTTAAGGCCCCATTAAAATGAAGTTTTCATTCCTACTCTTAACAAAAGATGACTAAATATTTAATATAAAAAAAAGAAAGCAGCCACCGTATACATGTATTTATAGAATACACTTAATATTTACTTTGTATCACTTTCCTGAATGCTGTTAAGTATAAAGCACTTGGAAGGGGTGTTTAAAAATTAATATTATTGAAAAGCATGCTAACGTTATTTACAGAAAAAGTTAACACAGCTAATGAATGTTGATGCTAAGTTGTATTTTTTAGTTTAATTTTTCTGTGCCAGTTTTCTATAATGGTAAATATCTCTCTAATTCTTTCCTTCAAAAAGTATATTTTGGTTGGTTGTGTTCCAGTTTGCTTAAAAACCTGTGCAAATGTAATATCATTACTTCTGATGCTACTGTTTCATTTCCAGACTTCTAGGGATGGAGTTAATTGGGATCTCAGTGAGGCCGTTCCTCGACTTCCAGGAGAGACTCACGTTGCTGGTAAGGATCCTATGAAGTTGGGATTTGAGTAGCTTGTTAGGAGGTCCAGCAGGATCAGATGGCTTCAGTCCCTCTTGCTCTTTAGAAGTCAGATTTAGACCAATCGGCTAGCTGTGTTTCAAAGTGTTAATATAGAGAGGAGTATCTCCGTTAGTTTCTTCAAAGAGTTCTTTCACGAGCTTCATGCTCTCCAGCATGGTGATAATTTTTACTCTGTACCAAAGACTGAGAATTACTTCAGGGAAAAAAGTGTGGATTATCTCTTGAAATTCTCTTATTGGAGCGATAAGCTCTCATGGTTTGAGATTATAACAACAAAATGATATTAAGGTTTTCTAGTGAATGATGTATGCTTTAAAATGATCAACTTAAAGGCTTAACGTCTAAGTATTCTCTTCTTAGAAATGTAGGAGACCATACTGGTTTAAAATAACTTTCATTTGCCAGATAACTAATGTTATTAATATTGATGTAACATTTTGATTATTGACTGACTTTTTCATGATAAATTCGTATTAAGAGGAAGGTATTTACTTTGGAAGGACCAGCTCATTCTGGCTTTGGAAGCATCTGACAGCTTCTAGGCCAAGTGCTGATGCTGTGGGCATTCACCTTTTACGTGAGGGTCCACACCCTCCTCTCAGATTCCCGTGTATTTGGTAATGATGCAGTTACCATCGTTTCAGGGAACCTTTCAGTTTCTTGACTAAGACCTGGGTTGTTTACCGTAAATGGCTAAAGCATGGTGCTAATTAGATTAAGGTCATAAATGGGATGCCTTTGTGAGTTAGTTAGCAGTGCACCATGAGAAACTATTCCATGTCCACAGACTTGCACACATGATCCTAGTCTTTAAAAGGAAACCAGTGGCATGTGGCCTTCCCAATTTCTGGGTAAGAGCAGAGGATAACTTACTTTTGGTGGTCTTTGTATATAAAGTTTTGGTGCTCTGTGTCAGTGCCAGAACCTTACCGAGGTAGCAACTGATTGAATTAGCATGAAGTAGCCTTACTGGGTATTTTTCATTTACCACTTGAGGAGAAAGGGATTTCAAAATTATTAAGAAAAAAATTTAAAGCCATTAACACATTCAAGGACATCCTTGAAAGATAAGAAAAGGTATATTTTTCTTATGATAAATTAAGTTTCCTGATTTCATTTATCCTTATGTTTGAGTCTACTAAAGATGTACTGTTCTCTTGGCCATCTGTTTTATGTCACTTAAATGTTTGAAGTGAATCTAGCTGAACTCTTCTCTGGACTATTAAAAGAGAAAGACTAGGCTCTAGAAACATTTCTGCTGCTGACATTTATTTATTAAAAACATCACTGTTGTCTGTGTGATTAGAGGTTGGCAAACCTCAAGACCTATCTGCTGGTCGGTCTGTGAGGCTGTCCTATGGGAATTGCCATCCTCTGGTTGAAGTAGCCCAGTAGATGCCTTTCCAACCACCTGATGGTAGTTCACTTATCATTCACTTCTGCTTTCCAGCCCTTCTCACCTTGCCCCCGGTAGTGATGGCAGTGTGGGCGTGCTCAGGGAAGCACTGCTAGTGCCTGGAGGTGACACGTGGCCACGCTAGTTCCCCCGCAGCCCCACCTGACGTAGCATGGCGAAGTAGAAACATTGCCAGTGCTCGCTTTCAACCTTTTCAGTGATTTTTTTATTGTAGTTATTCTTAGCCAAATAGTTTATATTAAATTAGTGCCATTTGTTGTGTATCTTCGTATATATTTCCATTATTTTAGGGTACTTTTTTTATCTTAATAGACAAAGAAGTTATTTACATATGTCCTTTCAATGGCCCCATTAAGGGAAGAGTTTACATCACAAATTATCGTCTTTATTTAAGAAGTTTGGAAACGGTAAGTAGACTCTAAGACCATAAAGATGGCCCTAACTGTTAAAGATGATGCTGAACTGTTTCTCTTCTGCCTTGCAAGACTGACTGTGAATCACATTAACGTGGGGGATACATTTGCTTCTCAACTCTTAATTTTTGGCTTATGCAAAGCTTGTTTACCACTAACACTTATATATATAGGAATAGAATAAATTTAAAAAATAAGTTTTGTCCCTCATAAGAGTGGGGAGGGGTTGGTAACTGTCCTCATGTGCTAGTTTGGAGAAGTTAGGTCTAGAACAGTGGTTCTTTACCAGAAGCAGAGGTGAGAAGCACCTGTGGAGCTTGACAAGTGCCACGAGTGCCGTGGATGTACTGCAGCAGAATGTCCAGGCCTGTGGCCCAGGCACAGCTGTAATTTTTAAGACGGAGGAGGATGCTGATGTGAATCCTTTATAAAGACCCATTGCACTAGAACTTTCCAGGTGTTCAATTACAAAGCACAGGTAGCAGTTTAGAACTAGGATGACTATAGTGTGGCTTAGTGCCACTCTAGCTTTTCATTCCACAACCGTGAAATGTTTTCTGCAGCCTTTCACAGAATATTCTATTGCTGAAACAATGAGATGGTGATGAGATGTTCCAGAAGGGAAAGAATGACTGACTAGCTGCTGTGGCTGGCACAGAAGGACCTATGGTAGATGTGGTGGGTTGCCCACAGGCCGGCCTAAAGAGGCAGCTGTGTTTTGCTGAGATGGACCAAGGAGGAATAAAGCGGTCCAGGGTACATGCAGAGTAGCCCACTGCAGCTTATACACAGGAATTGAGACTGTGGGGGGAATCTGCCTTTTGTTTTATTGCTTTTATCCCACAATTTCTTCAGGACAGTTCTAATCTACATTAGTTTGCATCTTTTGATTTTTTTAAATTATGGTCATTATTGTGTCCAAATTCTGAAAAACACTGTTTATTTCTCCTAATCCCTTTGCTGTGGGAGCCCACTTCTCTAGTGTTCATAGTCCCACAGGGTTCGGAGATTGGGTATTTTATTTATGTGAATCTCTTCAGGCTTCTAAGTAAGACTAGAGCTGAAGAAATGTTCTAGTTTTCAAGAATGCAAAAAAAGATTCTGGGAATTAACAGCAGTGAGGTAGATGTCAACCCTTGGCAACAATTCTAGAAATAATCACTTAAACAGATGATTTTTTAAGAACCTAAGAAAGAAAGAAACCTTTGGGCGTGTTATTGACACATTGTCTTGATTGGCATATGACAGACCCTAACAAAGAAACATGGGTGAGAATGGTGGCAGTGCACTTAGGTAGAATTATAGACTGTGTATTAAAAGCTCGATGCCAGCCAGGAACGGTGGTCACTAATGTCTTGCTGTGCGGGACCCTTCCTCTCCAGCGTTTCTAATATAATGCAGATAAGCACATAGAAAGCATTCATGTCCAACATGTGAAATACACCCAACGAGCCAACGTGCTTGATGACAGAATCGAGGTTTGAAAAGATCTTAATGGGCTAGGATATTGGAGTGAACCTAGTAATACGAAGTTTAGCATAGATAATATTCACTTAATAACAACCAGCTGTATCAATAAAGGATGGAGGTGGTCTGTGTTAACGGAGACCCAAGCTTATTTGGTCCAGAAATTGGACATGGTTGATTAAAAAATTAATATACCTGTAGGCTGAACTAACAAAAGCATAATGGAACGCCCAGACAAAATGAGACAGTAGTCCCATCTGAAGTGCTATGTTCAAATCCAGGTGCCACATTTTAAGAGGGACATTGACAAACTAGAGAGAGATCAGACAAAGCGAACCAGGCTAGTGAAGGGGCTGTCATATGAGCAATGATCCAAATAAATGTTGATCTTTTGTCTGAAGAAAAAAAGACTGAAGGGAGACATGACAGAGCTACCTTGAAATATATGAAGTGCCTTCTGTGGAGCAGGGGTTAGATTCACCCTGTACAGCTCCCAAGGGTCAAATTGGGACAGATTGAGAGATTTTGTGCTGGTATATGCAACAATCATCAAAAGTTAGAATTAAAGCAAGTGTTACAGTGCCTTTGACCTCTGAGACACTTGGCTCGTTGACCAGGCACACACACTCACTTCCATTTTATGCTGTCATTGATGCTGAATTGGGGAAATAATATTTAAACTTTGCTGCCGTGACAAGATTCTGTATATGGTGTGATCTCAACTACTTAAACAAAAACTATCTGTAGAAAAGAGACCGGAAGGAAATACACCAGAAGTTTTAGTACTTGGGATATCTGGAGAGTAGAATTATGCCTGCTTTGTTTTCTTCCTTCCATTTGGAATAAGCATGTATTACTTTTATAACTGGGAGAGCACTTAGCAAGCTTTATTTATTTTGCATTCATATGGCGCTCTAGAAGGTGGGGATTAGCACTGAATGGGTGAATAAAATGCCCATTTGACACTGACTACTAACTTTTTTCTTCTTCCACTAAGTTTTACATAAACATTTTGACTGCTTGGCCACAACATTTAGTCCAAGTAGAAAAGCAAGCAGCTAATGGCAGAAAACATCAGATAAAGAAAGCCACTTAAGTGGCTATGCAGAAGCCTAAAACATAGTCATCACAGTGGTTCTTACTTAAAGTCCCAAACAAGAACATTAATTGTGGATTCTGCTGCAAAATGTGAATGCTTTTCTGTGTGTTTGACAAAGAGCTGTCATCTCACTGGCATTTTGAAGCGGACGCCTGTGTGTTTCAGGTATGTAAATGCTGCAGTGGGAGTACCGGCTGACTCGGGAGTCAGCTGTTGAGTTTCGTGAGGTGTCAAGGGCATGTTCCTTGCTCCCATTCCCCAGTGCCCTAGAAGCACAGTGGTCGTTTCCTTAGTTTTTCATGGTGGCCTGCTTCCACCTGGCCCTCCTTCGTGGTCTCCCCCCTCCACTCTGCCCTGCACGCTGCCTCCAGAGCGATTCTCCTTAGAACGAGGCTGACCCACTTACTTCTCAGTCCTAAAACTCTTATTGGCTCCCTGTTGCCCACAGAATAAAATCCACTCTCCTTTATGTGGCATAAAAATCCTTCTGACTTCTCCGGCTTCAGCTCACACCACTTCTCCCCATACCAGTCTCAGACTATGCAGTGCCTCCTCCCTTTCCCAGCACGTGAGGCCCTTCCATGCCTCTGTACCCTCGCATGTGCTGTTCTCACTGCTCCTGGCTGCCCTTGCAGAAGCCACTCTTTGTCTTCAAGAAGCCATCTCAAAAATCATATCGTTTCTGGAGCCGTCTCCAGCTTCCCTTGAAGGAATCTCTCCCTCTTTTTGTCCCCACAGCCCTTTTACCCATCTCTGTGTTAACACTTACTGCTGCGAAACCTTCCCTGGCTGCCCTCTCTAAACTTGTAATACTCCTCCCACCGCCTCCTCTCCCCCTTCTGTGTGTGTTGTTTCTCCTGAGCACTTGCCACTGTCTCCTAGTTTATGTATTGCGCTGCTGCTTCTCGGTCCTTGTCGGTCTGAGGACAGGGATACTTGTCTGTCTGTTCACTGGCGTACCCTCAGCACTTGGGACGGAGTCTGGCACTTCGCAGGTACTCAGTCAGACCGTGGTGAATGAAGGAGTTCTGTCTTGTTTAGTTGCTGCATGTCTGTGGTCTTAACTAATGGTGAGTCATTTTGGTCCTCCATGCCTAGCTAGCACAGTGACCCCTAGGCAGTAGGTACTCGGTAAAAGTGTATCCAATGAATGAACTTGGGAGGGAACAGGCCTTGTCACTGTGGTTTGACCACAACTTGGACCCTACGAAATCGTGGCATCTTGAATACGAGTTTTGCTTTTGGAGTTTAGAAATCCTGTAGCCACCTTTTGACCTTGGGGGTGCTCAGGAATTTGGCTTGGGGGTCGATCTCGTGACTACAGAAGGGGCTACTTTAGGTATGTAACATCTGTAATCTCGTAGACTACCATGGGGAAGACTGTTTCCAGGAACGTTTTGGGTTCAGGTGCCATAGAGGATGAGAAAGATGTTAACCCTTTGCGCATTCATATCTTTATTCCAGAAACATCCAGTGAGCACCATGGTGAATCTGACACCATGCTAGATAAATGTTAGGGACACGAGTAATTGCGGTATAATATGGTAGAGCCTGCAGTGGTTGCATAATGCTGTGAGGTTACAACGGAGAGGATGATTAACCTCTAATGTGATGAGTCATAGAACACTTTATAGAGGAGGTGATATTTGAACTGAGTCTCGAAGAATGGTAACAATTTCCTGGACAGGAGGGAGAGTGGGAGGAGCATATCAGGTAGACAGTTTCCATATCGCATGTTTAACAATATGAAAAAACACCATATAGTCTGGAAATGGCTGAGTGATCTGTTGGAGCTGGAACACAGAGGGCAGAGGGAGGAGTGGGGAATGGGAGGAGACGAGGCTGGAAGAATAGCTGCCTCAAGAGTCTCGTAAGCCACAGTTCAGCAGTATACATGTTACATGGAGAATGACATATTGGATGTGTATTTCAGGAACAGAAGTCAGTTTGCAGCGTGTATGATGGGTTAAGGGAGGGAGAGGCTGGAGGCAGGGAGGCCAACTAGGAAGTTATTTTAGTTTTCCAGGTAAGCAATAAGGGCCTGTAGTCGTAGTCGTGATAGAAAGGAGGAAACAGCGTGAGAGATTCAGGAGGATTTTGGTGGCCATTTGGTGGTGGGAGTTGAGAATGATTCCTGTGACTTTTTTTTTTTTTTTTTTTTTGCTTGAATGGTTGGAGTTGCTCCCATTCATCAAAATAGACATTGTAGGAGAAAGAGTATGTTGGAGATAAACCCCTGGGGAAATAATCTGAATGTGTGCACTTCAACTGTACCACTACTAGGTGGAAATGTGTCAGAGCGGTTGGAAACGTGACTCTGAGGCTTCTGAAGTTATTAGCATGTCAGTAGATGAGATTACCTGAGAAGAGTATGTGACCAGAAAAAAGAGATGCCGGCTAAGGAGAGAACCCTGGGGGACAGGAACGT